ACCCACCAATTCTCGAGTTATAAACAAAATAAACAACAAAAAATTAAATTTGCAAATGCACATTGTGCTGCCATCACTTATCCTAACCGAAAACTAATACAATGCAATCAACTCAGAATCACATCGCAGCAGGACAAATTGCCGAACAAGTTTTTAAATGTCTCCGGCATTATCTAAATCTAAACCGCATCATGTAGGCATCAACTGCATCAAATGTATCAATGCCGATGATGAAAACACGAAAAAAAAACCTCCCTACATGCCATACAATTATACGCCTTGTACACAATGTCGGCGCAGATGATGCCATTTCATATCCGATATCCTTACCTCCACAGCCCGGCGTCGAACGTCGATGCGTTGCCAGTTTTTTTGATGCGCACACAATTGGACGGGCGCGATCGAAATTACAGTGATCGGAATGATGGCATTGGTGTGTGTGCCGGCAAGCGACGTGCTGAGACAGATTTCGTTTGTTGATATTGCCATACCACACGCCGCAATCGAACAATATTTTCGCCTCATGCATAATACATAAGTCATTGTGTTGCGAGCGTATCGCTTTGACAAGTGATGACGTTTGCAGTTATGTTGTATCATTTCGATACCATCTACCTTCTTCTATAACATCATATACCTACACAAACAAAGCGAAGAGGAGTTGAGAATTGAAATAATATAATAACATAAGGGTTGTGTTTGTAACTTAAGAATTACCTTAGTAAATTAGGTTAAATAGTTCAATTAATTCAATTTTTGAGTTTCTTTTGTCGATTGTGTTGCGATGGTTGCGTGGGTGGTCGCGGTGGAATCACAATGGGGTGCCGGGTATTTATGCCCTCGCTGATAAGGATAATAATGCCTACTAAACGATACATTCCAAACATCAAACACCTATCTGATGTTATCGGACTGCGTCGGGTTTGGATTCATAATGTTCCGACAGACAAACGCCGCATCGGGACCATTTTTTATTTTCACCGGCGTCACAAAAGAAGCTAAACTGTTATAAAGTCACTTCTTATCAAAAACGTCCAAATATTTAGATATCTTAGGAGTAATAAAGGTTAAAAGTCATTTTAAACTGAAAAATTTATTGGAATTCATTAAAAATGCTCAAAAGTTAGGTTATGACAACAACGCGCATGCGTAATATGAAATTTCACACGTGGTTTAGTTTTGCCCCCACTTAAATTATTATAAAATCACTTCTTCTTATAATAAACAACAATTATTTATATATCTTAGCAGTAAGATCGGTTAAAAGTGATTTTAAACCCAAAAACTTTTGAAATTAATTTTAAATGCTTAAAACTTGATTATGAATGTAATGCGCATGCGCAATATGAAATTTTACACGCAAACTCAAAATTTATGTCATTTTTTCCGTTTCACTGGCGAATTTAACTGCTTGTGGTTAATAATAACAATCAATATTTATAACTCGGCTGCTTACTGAAGTTGACGCTCATGACACGATGGTATTTTCACTTTTATGGCCGTCCCATGCGTGCGAAACGAAATTGAATTATTCGCGATATAATTAAAAAGCAAAGCAGGTGCGAGGTGCTAAAATGACTGACGGTTATTGACACGATACACTAATTACTCTTAATGCATACGTGCACATAAAATCGTTTTGCCGAGACTGCAAAGAGTTCAAGTAATTACAAATAAAAACACAGCAGCCGTAATTATAGGTTATGGAACGACAACGATAAATACTAAATTATAAATGTAACCTCAAAATATCAATAAAAATAACTTGTTATATTATAAAAAATATTAACAACGAGTTGTAATGGTGTCAATGGGCAGTGAAACGCTACCGTTACGCCATATTGGTTACAGGTAACAATTTGGCAAAAAATTGGTTAAGAAATGTTTTAAAATTGGTTTGTGGTTTGTTAAATTAGCATTTGTTGATTAAGCAACTGTTATTTATAACAAGATATCAATTTGTGTTGTTATTAGGCATAATAAACATGTAGATCAATCAAAAAACTAATTGTCAAATATAGTTGAGTATTTGGTTGCATACTTTTCGACTTATTGTCCAAAAAAATAAAATAAAGCGTGAGATGGTAATAAAAGCTGCGTTTCGAATATATTGAGCATTCACATGCGGTGTATTTACCTCTGGGGCAGGCAACCATCTTGGATTTTTCACGTTTTGAATAAATAAGCTATTAAGGCCGCTTTCCTCCTCTTTTTTCGACCGTTCGTGCCCATTATGTTCGCGTTCGCTACGCGCGCACCGCGGCCATGCCCTGTGGTCGCATCCCCCTTGATACCGTAAATTATGTTGTTCCCTTTTCACATGCACACAAAACCCAACTGTACAAAAGCCCCGTAACGAAACCGGATCAAAAATATCACAAAAAACTCAAAAACATTTCCATCCAAACAATAAAAACCTTGATAAACTTATTAATTTTAAGGTTATATCTCTTACATTACACACAATTGTTGGTTATGATGTTGCAGATGCAAATCAAGCATGTGCAAGGTATAATAAAGACTTAATAGGTTCATTAACATCAAGTGAAGCCAAAGGCTGGAAACGATTAGCATTCAGTTGCAACTCATCGATTCACGCTCTCCGAACATCATTTCTGCCTGGTCATCAACATGGCGACGCGGATAATTCAAGAAAACATCAAATTCGTTTTTATCCGACTCAATTTAAGCCAATTCCCAATTCCCATTCGTGACTTAGTTCTTTACCGACGGATCGATGTGTTCACGACGCGGCGAAAAAACGAAAAGCAACGCGTCGACGTGCGAGCGACGTCTTTTTATTCGTCGCAAAGGCGGTGCCGCCATACTTAATAGCACTGCCAGTAGTAGTAACGACAGTAAAGAGACGTATCGGTGGAGAATGTTAATCTAGAATGACAAGTATCTCATCTCCTATCTGCGCAGCGGAGGCAGCATGCTTAATGACCGTATAACCGGCGACGTGTAAATGAATACACTTACAAACAGACTCGTTTCGTTCGCATGAAGATCTCTTCAGCACGTTTGACAAATTCGACGTTTGTAAGGCAGACATGTCCGATAATTAGACGCGAATACGGATGGCTTCGAGTTTATGATGACAAGATGGCCGCCGTGGAAAGAGGGCTGCGATGAAATTGCAGGAAAACTTCGAGTTTCCTTCTTCTTGTTTTTTTTATGACTACGTAGATATTCACTTACACTTCCGTTTGGTGGTGTTTGTGTTTGTCGTAAAAAAACACTTGACGACTCCCGTTTTATTGCTCTGCTTTTACGGCGGCGCGCGTTTTTAAACACAGCGCGCTTCGTTAAGTTCACTCCGTCCGGCGACTTCCAATTTGCAATGTTTATGTCGCGTTAAATACCAACATTTACAAGTGCGAAGTTAAACCACCTTTAAACTACTCGTACTAATAACTTTACGTAGCTGAAATACTAATAAAATACCTATAATACATTTTTTTCGTTTTTCGTTTCTCACAATGCGCAAAAAAAAGAATTTGGCTCTTGGCCGACGTCCAAAAAGCTTAATTATATTTTTTCTGCTGGTGCAGCAGAGCAGCGTGTAGAACAAACAACATTCGGAATGTTTTTTTTTGTCGACGCAACCGAACACGATTCGGCCGTTTGCTCGGGTTGATATCGCGCTCCGCGCGGCGAATATTAAGAATTTCGGCGCGGCCATTCCGTGCATCTGGCGGAGTGATAAAAAGCGGCCAACAGATAACGCCCGATTGTCCACAGGATATTGCGCGGCGTGCCGCAGGCAGCGCTTTTTGCGTCGCAAATGCAACGTGTTGGCGTTGTTAACATGTAATTTGGAGAGAGGATGAGTCTCGCATATTGCCGCAACACGTGCGAATTATTGCCTGAAAGCTGAGCTGTTTTATTGGAAAAAGTTTTAGGGATGCGCACAAACCACAACACGTTATATATAAAAATAGAGAAAAGAAGATTGTAGAAAATTTAGGGAGAAATTAAGGTAATGAACAAGATATTGACGTAATGTGTGTTACACTAGTTATAACTGATAAAAGACAAGACTAATTTTGTATTATTTAATTATTTTGATTGTTGTAAGCGCTCAATAGCAGAATATACAATAAAATGTCGGAAATTTTCAGTAAAAACTAATTTTTTTATGAAAATTTCTTTTAAAACAATGAATTATTGCTGTTTTACGTTGATTGGCATTGTTTTTGTCTTTTGGATACGAATTAAGACTCCAAATATGCAAATTAAAACATTTTATAGTTTCAGAATTTAATATTTTACCGTTTTGCAATGGCAAACACAAAAGTTTTGATTTGTTCACCAAAAATTCATAATTATTGCAAAGGAAAACAGAATTATCAAAGTTTAAGCACAAAAAACTAATTTTTTCTTGCTCAAATCCAATAATAAAATCCCTTATCAATTAAACCTTGTTTCCTTTCTTCTCCTCCAAAGAGATCCCAATTGAATTGAACGGATGCTCTCCGTGCGCCCTCGCTGCGGCTCACCGCGAGTGAGATTGGTTTTTCAATACGATTATATCAGCCGCGTCGAATCGTACGTATCGACTGGCAAACATAATCGCGCGTGGAAATAAATACGAAATGGGCTTGTTTAATGTTATAATTTAATGTCTTCAGCAGTGCGCGCCGCCTGGGTGGTCCCGGCCGCGGCCGCGGCAAATTGTTACTGCACTCGCTCACATCGCTCGCGCTGCCCGGTGTGCAGTGCAAGTGCAGTGTTGTGCACCGCAATGTAATTACTTCACTTTACTTATTTCTCATGCGATCCGCCCGCAATGCTCGTTAGCCGCGACTCGCGCGTTTCGCCGTTCGGCTTGTCATCGTGTGCTTCTAATGTTACACCTTTTACAATACAAAAATGACTATAATCACGCCTCGTTATTGCATGCCACATCATATTCTCGCGCTGTGAATTTCATACAGAATACTAGCATGTCGGGTAACGTGCGTGTAAAAAAGGCAATTTCAATAAAAAGCCGTAAAACCGCTTAAATCAAGTGGAAATATTCTTTCACCGAGCTGTTACAGTATAAATAAAATATTAAATTAACTTAATAGTACTGGCAGCGCCATCTAGCAGCCTGCATCACACTATATATAAAATATTAACACAACTTATGATACTGGTAGCGCCCTCCAGCGGACAATCCAATAACTATTTCTTCAAAGCAGAAAGTCAGGGCGTAGTTGAATTTTACTTTACTTTTTTGCCAGCAACATAAACACTTTGCACGTTTCGATCATCTCCAAGAAAGACAAACTTTTGTAGCAATTCATCAGCAGCATAATCTTCTAAAAGATGCGCTGAAGAATCGGGGACGTCCATGTCGACGATTAAAGCATCGAAATCTTTACCAACCTCAAGACTTCCAACTTTATCACTGATATCAAGTGCTAGAATCATGATACAGTCAAAAATACAACTAAAATATTATGTTTTGATGTTTTACCAATAGCACCACCCATTGTAGCCATATAAAACGCTTCGTAATACGTGATTGGTTTGGAATCTTTTATCATGTGTGTTAAATGCGTTGAGGTATCAATGGCGCAACGCATTGCGTCAATAATGGAAGCTGAAGCTCCGCCAGCGACATCTAAATGCATTAAAATAGTATCTTATTAAGTATCAAGTGTGCTAAACGGCATTTTAATCACGTAATCTTACCAGTTCCTAGTCCAATATTAATTCCACTCTCCTGTAACTTTCTGACATCACATAACCCTGATTTTAACCTAGTATTGGAATTAGGACAATGGGAAATTGATGTTCCTTTTGCCGCAAGAAGTGTTCTCTCTTCTTCAGTCAAATAGACACCATGAGCTAATACTGTCTACAAATAAAAATATAAATTAATTTGGATAACCTATTTTCATACAAAACATAACCTTACTTTTTTAGTCAACAACCCAGCAGCGTTGTAAACATCCGCATATGAACTTCCATTATACATGTCATGCACCATTTCGACTTCATCAACATTTTCAGATATATGTGTCTGAATAACCAAGTTGTACTTTTGTGCAAGCAATCCTAATTGACTCATCAATTTTGCGTCAACACTCAGGGCAAACCTAGGCGTTATTACAGGTTGAACCAAATCACTTCCTTTTGCAATTACTGTTTCAATAAACTCCACAGTGTGATTGAGACTGTCAACTGCTGTTTCTACATAGTTATCTGGAGCCAATCGAATCATATTGATTTTACCAATGAATGCACGTTGTCCTTGATCGATTGCTGCATTGACAAGGACCAAACTGCTGTCTTTGAACATAGACGCAAAGTAGCAGGCTGTTGTTGTTCCATAACTCAATGTTTTGTTCTGTTTAATAATCAATGATTTACACATTAATACAATTTTGAAAATGTGGACTTTGACAGTTGGTACGTACCACAACAGCATTGTAAACTTTTTCAGAAAACTTTAAATCACTGTATTTGCTCTCTAAATTATAGGTGTACTTATTAAGCCATTCTAGTAAGGGCTCATCATAGCCAAGACCAGCATTTGGGTATTGTGGAGCGTGGATGTGCGTATCAATGAATCCAGGGATAAGAAATTGATTCTTTTTGAGTGTAACTCTTGGCACGTAAATTGTGCTGAGTTCTGGAATAGTTGACAATGTATTTTCCAAGTCTTTATGTTGTCCCAGACCTACAATCTGGATAAAATATTTTAGAAAATATTCAGTTAGCAATACCAAAATTGTAAAAACTAAATATTTGGTGGATGCGCCGGGCAATAAAATCTTTTTTAGAAATAAAATAGTACAATTTGTTTTTAGAATAAAAAAAAACAATAAATGAATATTTATAAAGTGTTTTCCTTTGCAAATTAGTAAAAGTTATTCATTTTCAAATCAATATTGTATAAATTAATGCAAAATTTTGATATTTCATTACCAAACCAAAGGATAAATCCAATTTTAATTTTTTTCTTTTATTAACAAGTAATTTATGTTATTACATACCTTTGAATCGTTAACGATGATAAATCCATTCTCTATCACATCAATACTGATTTTATCCTTAGACGGATTAATAATGGTCCCGATAAAAATCTCTGCACGCGTCATAATGCTTGGCAAGTAACAATACAGTTAACTGTAAAGATAGTGGGTGTTAATACGCAAAATATACCTTAGCATCACCTCAGCATACATATTTGCACAGGAATGTTGATAATGATAACATAATCAATGTTTAAAGCAAACTACTTGTTTTATCAATTGTTGTCAAAAGAAATGATTGCTATAAACCGGTCTGCACATAAATACTGGTGTGATAAGAGCTAATAATTAAATACGACTGGTTATTAATTAGAGTAAGTACTAGATAATAATAATATAAACAAAAATTTTATAATTTATGTTAAAATTCTTGTTTTATCAATTTTTAACGGTTTGTGACAGAACACACACAAAAATTTAATATTTTTTAAAGTTATGGTTGTAAATTGTTGTATGGCTGTTGATAATGTGAAGTGTACACTCGAGTTTGCAATAAATTGAACTGAAGGTTGATAACTTATATCTACATTATTATTACACGTGCTTAATACATAAATAATTGGTTGTCCTTGACTGTGATGTGTCCATTAAATGTTGAAATATATAAAGCATAGATTTAAATTCAATGGGGACGTGATTTTGTTGGTATTTATTTTTTGAATACATTTTATTCATTGGTAAACCAAATATATTTGTATAAACTTGTTGAATTGTAAAATACCGGAATTCAGTATAAAATATTCATTGTTATCTGCTGATAGTGAGTCACACACAGTGTGAATTCATTCGGCAACGAATGAGAACTCTCTACAACAACAACAAATATCTTCATGATGCCAATGCAGCGAATTTAATGCAAATAAGTGCATCGCAACTCCATCCAGCGGACACTTCTAGACTACTTTTTATTCACGAATAAACCAAGTATATTTGCTGTTGAATTGTAAAATGCTAGAATTCAGCATAGAATATTTATGCCGTGCTGATAATCTTGGTATCTTCTGATAGTGAGTCAAACGAAGTGTGATTTTGCACGCGGATACGAATGTAAACACACTACCAAAACAACAAATAACTTCGTTGGTACCGGCACAGTGAATTTAATGCAAATAAGTGCATCGCAGCTCCATCCAGTGGAGATTTCAAGACTACATTTTATTCAACAAGTATAAACTTGTTGTTGATTTATAAAATGCTAGAATTCAGCATAGAATATTCGTACCGAGCCGATAATCTTGTTATCTTCGGGTATTGAGTCGCAAAAAGTGTGAATTCACGCGGATACGAATGTAAACACACTACCAAAACAACAAATAACTTCATTGGTACTGGCACAGTGAATTTAATGCAAATAAGTGCATCGCAGCTCCATCCAGTGGAGATTTCAAGACTACATTTTATTCAACAAGCAGTGGCGGATTATGCTTCAGTGGGGCCCTAGGCGCAAATCAAGTTTGGGGCCCCTAAAACCGAAAATTTTCAAAAACGGTTATTAGCCCAGTAAAATTAATAGTTTTAGCGTACGGGCGCCGCAAAATCTACTTCAACATTCGTTTGTGCCAAAAACTCATTTCCACACCACCTTGAGGTAGAGTACGTGGCGCGTTTTTTTTATCGTTGTATCCCCAGTAGGCTTAATCCACACGCACTATTCCAAAATTTAATGGATTATCTTCCGATTCGCTCTTCGCGATGGACCAGGTGTTGTGCGTTAATTGTTTTCAGGACCGATCGAAATATCACAGGTAAAATTTTCTGCCATACTATCCGCGATGGGATTATCGTTTTCAATGCTATCTTGGTTCTCGAGTTCATCGTACGTGTGCTCAAAAACGGTAATCGTATTTAAATACAAATTACAAATTTACTTTTCTTGCCTTCTCTTGGGCAAAGATTTCAATAATTTTGTCGTACTCTAGTTTTTTAAAAATATCATTTTCTATGAACATTAATGCGAAGTCATTTAAGTGCTCTTGTGAAAGACTATTGCGCAGATAGTTTTTGACTCGTTTTAAAACTGAAAATGTCCTTTCTCCACTTGCATTAGAAACGGGCAAGGTCAAAAAAATTTGCAGTATTGTGTGTATATTTGGAAAAGTTGATTTTAGACCATTACTTAATGTTGCATACATTTCATATGGATCTCTAATATTTTCTTCTTGTATGTATTTTAGAAAATGAGTTAACTCATCAGTGAAATATTCTGGCTCAATATCTTTTTCATAGTTAGACAATAATCGCTGTACACAATTATTAGTCTCAACACGGCTTAATTTTAAATCAAAGAAAATTTTAAAATCGTTAAGAACATTGATATAGACATCGCCCCTTCGAGTAATTTCTGATGTTAATACATCACATACAATATAAAAAATGTTGACAATAAAAAAATTTCTTGACGAAACTGCTGTATCATTTTTGTTCGTTTCATCATATGGATATTTGCGTTTTCTTTGTCTCATCTCTTTTTATAAGAATGATGAGCTGTTAGAGATTTAGCCTCCTCTTCAACAGTTTCAAAATTATTTCTGACCTCTGTTATAAATTCGTTTAATGATTTTAATAAACTAACACTATTAAGAATATTTGTCTTTGGTTCCTGTAAGTATTTGCTGGTAATTTCGATTCTCTGTAGGAGTTTGTTCCAGAAAATTGTTAACAGTGCCGTCTCAAATTGATTGAACTCTTTTGATAATTTTTTTGCTTCTAATTTTGAAATTGGTTTTTCATTGGAATCTGTGGTTACCTTTATCAAGGATTGGTAAATGTCATGATAATTTAGTCTTAGGGCTAAAACAGCGTCAGCTCTTGCGGACCATCGTATATCAATTATTCTCTTGATACTTTTAGAATTCTTATCTTTCATGCATTCGGTTAAAATATTCCACCGTCTTGTTGATGCAGCAAAGAAAATATATATATTTTGCATAAACATAAAATACTGTAATGCTCCAGAACAAGATTCCGCTGCAGTATTCCCAGCCAAATTTAAAGAATGACTTCCACATGGTATGAATTCAGTTGATTTGGAATGTTGTTTTAAGCGTGCCTGTAATCCACTGTAATTGCCAGACATGTTAGCAGCGTTATCATAAGATTGGCCCCTACAGTTTGTGATATCTAAGCCATAATCATGTAACTTTCTAAGTACAATTTCTTCTAACGACTCACTGACCACTCTCTGTTTTTTTTTTAATCCAACTACCACCCCAAAAATCTAGATAAAAATTGTAGGAGGATAAACGTTGGTACAACAGATTTGAAAAAATGATAGAAAGACGAAATAATTAATATTCCAAAAAAGAGAGTTACCCGCTATTTTACAACCTCAATGGAATATTCCTCGACTCATCTCCTCCACAGATGTTCGAAATTTTAAAAAATTGGCAATATACTACTCGCATTATAGCTACAACTTTCTAATGCAATATTCAAGAAAAGGTCACAAAAATTCGTGGCAGAAAACATCAAAATTTTATTTTAAACAGTTTGCAATAAGGAAATAAAATCGGAGATAAAAAGTTTTAAGTCAGCTATATAACCGTGACGGTTGCTTTGCGGACACGTGTGAAATGCCGTTTTGGGCGCCAAGTGAAAACCAATACGTTATTCATAAAGGCTGAGGTCAAAACCAACTGATGAAGTATTTGTGGAATTACTATGTCTATATGGGACATATAAGTGCCAGGGGCCCCTCAGGCAACCGGGGCCCCCCAGGCAGCCGGGGCCCTAGGCGCGCGCCTAGTGCGCCTAGGCCGTAATCCGCCACTGTCAACAAGTATAAACTTGTGGTTGATTTATAAATTGCTAGAATTCAGCATAGAATATTCGTACCACGCTGATAATCTTGGTATCTTCTGATAGTGAGTCACAAAAAGTGTGAATTCACGCGAGACACGAATGTGAACTCACTACCAACAATAACAAACAACTTCATTGATACGTGAACAGCGAATTTAATGCAAAAAGTGCATCGCAGCTCCATCCAGTGGACACTTTAGCAATTATATATGAATAAAAATTATAATTCAATCGTAAGTTTAATGTAATTCGTATGAATCACTAATTGAATGAATGAAATGTTAATAATAATGATTGAAGTGTTTCCGTACACATAATAAGCTAATTTACTACTTACTATAAGTTGTATGCTATAAATAGCAATTAGGTGTTCCGTCTAGTCACACGAAGCGTCCTACACACAGCAAAAACGCGCAACTAAAATCGATGTTCTCCACGTTCTCAACGTTCTCAATTACGGTCAGCTAGTTTTAAGCAATCGTTGCGCGGCCTTCGTATTTGGAATGCCGATATATTATATTACAAACGTTTTTTATTGTATATTTTGCTTAAATTCCGGGAGCACTCTACTACTGTAGCTATCAGGCTATTAAACACGCGCTATCGCGCTGATTCCTAAATTCTAATCGCTCTGTCTACGTTTAGTATTTCGCATTGGTTTTTTAGTACCATCAAGTTATCAAGTTATCAACGCACTCGTTGATATTTATATCAAACCAATTCGCAATGATAAAAATTGTATTAAACTAATATTTTGTTGTAGACTTAAGTATAAATTCAAATATTACTACTATTATCTAAGAAAATTCCGTTTCTAAAAAAAAATTCGTTATAAAACATGAAATATGAGTGTTTTTATCAATAAATAAGTAGTCTTACTTTCATTTTTTAATAAAAATAGCTCTAACCTTTGATTTAGACGCCGCCATCTTGGATTTTTAGAATAATTCGAAGAGTAAATTGCTTTTAAATGTAAAACAGAACAAAATCAATGCAAATTCTACAAGTTTGTATGCAAACAGCTGTCAAAATTGTTAAATATTTCGAGAAGGAAACAATAAAACCAATTTTTCCCCAGGGATTCGTAAATTAAAACACAATTACTAATAATTTTCTATATATTATCTCCCTGCTTTCTGACTATTTACGTCTAAACTTTCACTCAAACTCTTGATGTGTTCCTTCGTCGTCCGTTTGATGCTCTGCACTTGTCGCTTTATCTCCTCACTCTTATATTCTATATCTTCTTCAAACAATTTGCTAACCTCCAGTAATTTCGGTTGTTTATGGAATTGCGTGGTAACATTATTAGTCTTCTTTTTTGGTGAACAAATATGCAACAGGCCCCAATTATTTGTCCTATTCTCCTCAGATTCCAACAGCCACGCAGCATTTCGTACTTCAGCTTTAAATTTCTCCAATTCTTCAATGCTAACATTTTTACTTACATTTAACCCTCGTTCAAGAGGATTTACAATGTACAACGCACTGTGTTCTGGTTTATTAATCGGTATGCCTTCATTTAGCGAAATCGCCTTCGTTTGAAAATCAAATGATGAATAATACTCTAAAAACTTCTGAAGCAACACTTTTAAATCGTCAGTGTTCGATGTGGGATGAACTTGGAGATATTTGTTGTGATCGCGTAGAAATGTGACATTTAGGCCATCTTCAACGATGAATTTATCGTCTTCACCAGCCATTTGTACCAAAGTATTAAGAGATGGAAGAATATTAATGGGTTTTGATTGTAAAAACGCAATAACTAAGAGAGTGAGTGAAAAGTTTGATATCCAGCGTCCAGGGGATGAATTTGTTAGCCCCGTTTCCGCTGCCCAGCGACGAATTGTGAAGACCAGTGGCCGGACACGGTCGTCAATTGATCCCATCAAGTATAAAAAGTCAGACATATGAACCCCAGACCTGAATTAATATTTTTTCTTATAAAAATCTAAAAATTTGTAATTTTTCAACACTTACGTGTTTGACATGGACAAATCGCATTCAATATCAGCCAATTGCTGGTAATATTTAATTATTGGCACTCGTGCTTGTAAAATACGTCGTACTTGTGAGCAACCTGGAAGAAACAGTTGCAGAATATCGCTGATTGCTTCCATGTGACGCTGAGAAGTTGAACGTTCAGATCCCATGCTCGCTTTGCTATGGTAAACTAATCTGGTGTCTTCATTAATGGACTATAATACATATAAAAATATGAATTTAAATTTTTCTGAGATTAAAATGCACTTACTGGTAAATTATTGTTTAACTTTAGAACTAAGTCTAAATCACAGCCCATTTTGCCATAACCATTGACTGAAGAACCAAACGGAAAGGCCACAGCTGAAGGAAACATGCCAGCAACAGACAATTCCACCTGTTTCGCTACCAAAACCTTAATCTGGTTCCAATTTCATTAAGTTTTGTTAAGTTGTGCAACTGTTGCATTTGTTCTGAAACCTGTTGGTTAAAATAATTAAAATTTTATAGATTACAACATGAAATAACAAACATTATTAGCATTTCTTAATATATCCATGATTTCCATATCTCTTAAGATGTTGTTTCCATTTTCAACTATGAGTTTTGCATTTTTGCATTTTTGAGTTATTAACTTTGCTCATTCTTTTACTGGCAGCTCTAAACCACATGAATTGTGATTGTACAGGCACTGCATGTGTATCCTCCAAATATCCACTGCCTGCATAGGCATTCTGTACATCATCAACATGATTAAATTCAACAATTATGAAATGCATTGGTTCTGTACCAGTTGAATAATGCAGCATGTTATTAATGTGCCCAAATGTACTGCAATAACTATGCAATTCTTTGTAGGATTGTGCTGATTGCACTTGTACTAGAATACTACGTGACGCCTCATCTTTTCTAAATTTCAAGTTGTCTTGAAACGTGCGCGTTTGCGGTATGGTATTGATAACTTCATTTTCTGTTCGCAGAAAGAAAACAAATTGTTATGAGACTGTTTTGTTAGTGGTACTGAGGTTGTCTTACTTGGTATCTGCTTTGTGGTTAACAGCCTGGATGAGGAGGCGTTTAATTTGGCCGGTTTCGTGTGTAAACATTTAGAGAAACTCTGTATAAATGCCAGATTCTTTGGCGAAAGCAGCATCGACATTTTCGGTTAGCAAACAAAGTTGGGTTAGACAGTTGCATTTCATGCGTTGGACACATTGTAGATATTTATGTATTGTATGCAACTTAGTATACATCTTCACTCAAATGTATAATTAACACAGAAATAATAAATAATCAATAATAAAAACAAGCATAATACAAATATAACATACTACAAATTATTAAAATATGTATATTGAAGTATTTATATAAATTATTTGAATTTAAAAACTTTACTTCGGCAACTATGTTAACTTTAACTGAGGATGTAATGTAAAACCCATTCTTTGTATCTGGGAAGTCCCGAATTTTGAAAACATGTTTTTTATTCTGTGGTTGTTGGCTCCACAAAGGTTCCACAGTAACAAGTTTACAAGCAAGATTAAAACACGACACAAAGCACAGTCTACGACGCAATTTGCTCAAGATCGGTTTGATTCTTATAGTGATTTCTTTATAAGTTGAAAATTAAACATTCTAATCATGTTTAAGCTTCTGCTTTTAGTATATTTCGTGGTAATGTTTGATATTCTACTCAATGCAGAGTGCAGTTTTATAAAGTAAGCACATTACAATCATTTTCGTAGAATTAAATATTGCGCAATATTTCCAAATACATTTTTAAACTTTTTAACTGCAGCGTACATTTGGTAAGAAGGAGAAGTCCTAGACAAAACTTAAAAATTGCTAATGAACATGGATTAGATATTCATGCTCTTGAAAACACCAAAAATGCCACAAATTACACCTTAGCCCTGCAAAAATATTTAGATGTAAGTATTGAATAATTAATTATCTAATGCCTGAATTAACTTGATAAAACTCTTTATTTCAAGAATGAGTTTTATGGATTTATCAGAGTAGGGTCAAGAAGTCAACAGTTCCAAGTTATCTTTGATACAGCCTGGACAACCAGCTGGATAATGTCAAAAGATTGCCCTCCAAGTGTTGATGGATGCAGTAAGCAAATGACTCATATTATTAATCAAACTATTAATAAATGAATATTTACTTGATTAAAGAGGGTCATCAACTTTATGATCATGATCGTTCCGACACTTACGTTCGCAATGGGACTAAATATAGTTCACGGGAAGGTGATGAGGTTCTTAGTGGTTACTATTCAAGAGATAAAATCAATGTAAGAGTGTTAGGTATTCACCAGTCGCGGAATTTTCTTTAAAAATGGTAATTTTTTAGTTTGGCGGTTGTAAATTGAACCAAACCTTTGTGGAAATGACCCAGGTCCCTGCAAGTTTCATGCTCAACAAGGCCGATGGTCTGATTGGACTGTCGCCATCTTTCAATGGTGAAAAAACAGTTCCTGAAATGCTCTATGAAGAAGGCTGGCTTAAACAACCAATTTTCTCGATTTTTCTCAACAGGTACAAATTATAAAATAAATTATAACAAAATAATTATGTTTCTGTAGAGATTACCAGTCCAGTCGTGGCGGTGACATAATGTTGGGGGCAATCAATGAAAAACACATCCATGTCACCAACAAAGTCAAAGATAAAGTTACCTATGTTCGAGTGGATAGCTCCTATGGTCAGTGGGCATTCAAAATGGATAGGTACTAAACATAACCTTAAAATAACCTCACATTACCTCAAAATAACCTTTAAATCAATGAAATGAATGAAATTTTTAGTGCTGCTTTAATAATAGCCAAGAAATCCATTCCACTCTGTACGCAGAATTGTGACGCTCTTGTTGACACTGGTTCCATCAACATTTACGCTCCCAAAGAAGCTGTGGATGAAATAAATTATCGAATTCACGCCACCCCTGATGATGATAAGTTTGCGGTTGATTGTGATAAAATCAACAAGCTGCCACCATTTAGTGTTGTAATCGGGGGGCAAACATTCCTTTTGAAAGGAAAAGAATACACGCATAGGGTAAGAAGTAAAATTATGCAAATTATTATGTGATTTATATACATATACATTTTTTACAGATTACTATTCGAAACGTCGATAAATGCTATTCTGTCTTCATGCCAGGATCAGACAATCAATGGGTTTTAGGCGGTGCATTCCTGGCACGTTATTTTAGCATTTACAACTTTCAATCGAAAGTTATTGGCTTTGTAAGGGCCGCTTAACCTCAAAACATCAAACCGTGAATTTACAGGTTATAGATATCCAGTTTTAATGATAGTTTATGCTGTAATCATGACAATTCATTTAATAATGCATGCAAAATGTTTTCTAATGGCTTTTTAGGTGTAATCAATTCAAAATGCTTTAATATTCTTAAAGAATATAATTAAACATAACAAAATTCAGTTGTATTTGTCACCGCTATCATGATGTCCACCAAAAAACCCTCTAAAATTTCTCAGGTCGAAATACTATTGACACCAGTGACACTCCTGAAACAATTCTTTTCTTTATCATCGAAAATCGCAGATAATTCAATGTTAACAATATGCAAACAAATATTAATAATATTTATCATGTTTTATGTATCGATTTGTGCTATTATCGATGCGAAATTAATACATCCAAAGAGTTCATCATCGATTCTTAAAAATATGGATCGAGCTTCGATTGTTTTCAACATGATTCTCTGCATTGTTATTATATTAAACACAAGAAAAACACGATATGATTATGTGCAGAGAATCAAAGATTTTGACAGTGCTATTGAGATCTATTTCCAAAATGGCCTCGACAAACAAATACAACATTGTCAATCAATTACGAACAATGAACTACGTTTGTATTTGTTACACTTTCTTCTGAGTGTTTTTTATCTCTCAGTTAAAGTTGGTTTTGGCTGGTATAGTGAAGATGTCATACATTATCGCGTCGCCATTTTGTTGGGAGTCATCTTACGTTCAATTGTAGTGTTTGATTTCATTGCTGTGTTAAATATGGTTTTCGCTAGATTTAAATTAGTGAATCATGTTGTCCAGCAATTAATCCAACACAAACGAGTAAAATCAACGAATAAAAACATTGTTATCTCTATGAGTTTACTCGCTGAAAATAAGTCAAGGTCATTGAATAATGTTTGTAAGAGTGCTGATTTGAAACGTATTAAAGATACTTTGACGATTCTACGATTGACGCATGAAAGTTTAACGATGATTTGTCGTGACTTGTCGGAGGTTTATGGCGTGTTTCATGCGCTGGCGATTCTGACATCGTTGATTGAAGAAGTCAATCAAGCGTTTTCGGTGTTTATTGTTGGTTTAGATGCGGAAAAGTTGAGTGAGTTTGATTTTAATTATGGATTGGTGAAAGCGGCTATGTTTATGATGATTATTGGCATAACACATTTTTATTTTGTCGTGTTTTATTGCAGTGCTGTTGAGGATGAAGTAATTTATAAGATTTATAATGAATTTATTTGTTTTGTTGATTAATTTTTTTGTAGAGCTTTTTTACAAGGATGTTGATTCAAGATCTTTTTCTTGAGACTGGTTATCGGAGGGAAATTAGTGAGAATCTAAGATTGTTTGCGTTGCAGTTGAGGCAGACAGAAGTTAAATTTTCGGCGGCTGGTATTTTTGAGTTGAATTGGAAATTGATGAGTTTGGTAAGTTAATAATAATAAAAATATAGATTGATGTCATTGTGATTACCCAAATAACCGAATTAACTGTGTTTTTGGTTGTTTTTTTTTTTTATTTAGATTGTGGGTGAAATAAGTTCTTACCTTATTTTCTTCATACAGTCGTCTGGGTTTACGTTTGAGAGTGATGATCACTCGGCTGATAGTCTTCACTCGCTTTATAGTTGTGCTGTAAATTAAAACGCCTGCAAAATAAAAATAGAGGAAAGGTGAAGGATAAATAATAGAATAGGATAAGTGTGGTTCCTGTTGGTTGTAAGTTTTGAAATAAAACAGCAGGTTTACGATTTAAAGGCACTTTTATTGTTTGTACTTGTAAATTGTTGGCTTCTCTTTGGTTTATGAGTGAAAATATTTTAAATTTTAATAAATAAAAGTGTTAGTTGTAATTTTGAAAAAAAATGAATTTATCAACTGTAATTTATTTGCAGCTACGTGCAATTTTGCTAGAATAATTGATATTTTATTATTAAAATAATTAAATAGTGTATTATTTTGTTTTTATTGTAGTATTTTCAAGTGCTAGTTGAACCCGCCCACCTCCCTAGCACATTGTTTATTTTATTTATCATTTCTATATTCATATTTCTCACTTTATGAATTATATATTTTACATTATATTACTTTCACCAAATTCTCATCAAAATAATCATTATATCAAATTATATCAATTTCCTTTTATTTAAACTTCAAATATTTCTTCATTCACTTGGAATAAAAGTCATATTGTATATTTTTCATAATATTTCGCACATATATTATGTAATATTTTGTAGATAAATTACGTAATTCTTACTTTTTGCTGGTAAAAGGGTCTTTTGTTTAATTTTTATAAATTCTATATCGTATTTAACATATCTATACATTTTTTGGTGTTTATCACCTTTGTTTAATCTTTCTTTAATTTTTTTTATTGTTTTTTTTTGCCCACCCACCTCCTCTATCACATTGTTTATTTTTGTTATTTTAATAAATTTTAATTAAATTTGTTATTTTGTGTTTTTTGTATATTTATATATTGTAATCAATATTATTTTCAATTTATAAATCAGTGCAATTTATACACGATTTCCTTCTCTTATAGAACTTATATAATTAGTAATTACCATTGTTTTATTTTTGCAATTTCTATATATTTTCACCATTTGTTCATCAATTGTTTTTTTTAATATCGTATCATCTATTATATAGTAGTATGCAAGTTTGCCCACCCACCTCCCTTGCATCAATATCATTATTTCATTTTGTCATTCATTTTATTAAGTTCATTTTATGTTTCATATCTTTCGCCTTCACCTTCACTTTTATTCAATTTTAGTCATTGAAATTTATGTTCACTCTCAGTTTAAATCCATTTGTTATTTCTGGATTAAATATCATTAACATTTTATGTAATAAAACTTACATTTACACATTTTTGCGACAATTAAACCATTAATATTTTCTTTCATCTCCTATATACTCGTCGCTTTAATTCATAGCTTCTTAAAAAAATCTTAAATTACGATTTCAACACTTCCTTCATCTCATTGTACCACTACCGACTTAAAACTTATTTTTAATATCAGCTCATTCCATCTTGTATTTCAATAATTATTCATCTGTAATATTTTTCATATTCATCGATTGATCAGCGGCCGCTGTCATTAATTTCTCATTATCTTCCCTTAATTACCTTCATTTCACTTAATCTTCATACTTCATATATCCGCAACATTAAAATAACATTTACGTGTTACACTCTTAATAACCACACTTATAATATAAAATATGCAAAGCATAGTATAATTTTGCTTGCTCGGAAATTCAAAGTAGATTATAAATTGAATTAGTTTATAATATAAGCAAAGTAATGATTCGTAAAAACGTTAAAAATGTGTAAACGTAGCGATAAAACCCTCAAAAGCAGTGGAAACATGTAAAAACATATTAGTAGAACATGAAACATGCTTAATTCACAAATAGGGAGGAAAATCTGTACATTCTGTACATCCTACGAACACACTACTGCAACTCTACTTTGTGTCTATTAATAAGCACACGTATAATCAAATAATTTATTAATTAATTAATAGAATTCAAACAATTTACTTTTCTTGCGCATCTCTCAACTTTCCGCACACATTATTTCATTATTTTCAAATTCCGCTTTGTATTACAACACTTTTCGTGTATAGTATCAAGTAATTGAACTTTTCAGCTCAAAACTTGTAATTAAAATCGTAAAAAATTTAATTAGTTATATAAACATGCGAATTATACGATAACAGATAAACATAAACACTGAATAATTCAGTTTGGAAAAGCAGTTTTAAGACATACTGCACAATAATTAAATTATTATCGAGAAAGGAAAAAAACTTGAATGTAAAAACATCGAAATTAGCGTCAAATAAAATATTTACATAAATAATTCTAGTTATTTTAGCAAAAGACACCAATTTTAAAGGTGTTTGAATAAAATTATTGATAAAATATTAAACCTTTGCAGTTTTTAAACGTTTTGTAAATAAATTACAACATTCACACAGCTTTAGGAAAGCTTATCGTTTTCAAAATCCAAAAATCACACAAACATCGATACAATGTCGATGGTAACAAAACACGTCAATATCAATCACATCAAAACATTAGTTTCAGTGATGTCAAACTTCATACAGGGTCTTCATACAAAAGCATTCAAGCATACATCGATTGTATTCGTCGGAGATCAACAACACAGGTTTGTACAAACAAGTACGGCCATTTTTGAGTAGTAATACTAAGATTAAGATTAACCCGAGTTAATTTAATAACTTAAAATGTTTAATATATGAAATTTTAAAAGAATCTTTTTTTAATTAAATTTTTGCCTTTTTTCTGATTTTTATTTCTGGCGAATTTTGCTGGTCAAATCCGGGACACTGCAAACGACTTTTTCGCGAACTGACCGCTTGTTCTCCGACCATACGCTGCGGATGAGTATTGCGTTGCTCTTTTGCACACCACTCTGCACCCTCTTTCGCTCTCGCTCGTTCTCGACAACACCCCTAAGCTGACTGCCGACGTCCGATGTGGCCATCGACTGAGCGCAACAAAAAGCTAGACTCTTTCGCAAGTCGTTCGCATTTGCTTCACGTTTGTATAGATTCTGACTGGCTGGACATTTGCATGTTGTTGTATTGATCTGTCGCTGCCTGACGACAGTCGCGCAAGTCCGCACGAAAGTGACCAGATGCTACAGGTGCCCAATTGGGGGTGTCAAACTGTCGCAAAGATCTAAACCATCACGATTAAGTATTTTTTTGTGGCGAGATGTAATTTGATTCTTTTAAAATTTCTAACAAGCGGTTTTTGTTAATTTTTTGTCTTCATTTTCGTTATGTAGTATAAGTATATATCCAGTTTTTATTCATACGCCTTTTTTCAAGTACATTTTGTGCCATTTTTCATTCAATTTTTCAATTATGCAATAATTTGCTTCCACTCATTTTCATTTTATTCTGTTCAATAATAGAACAATTACCATACAATTATATAGCTTTATAAAAAGCTTAAAGAACATAACAATTCAAATATTTCGTAATTATAAAAATCAATAGTCGTCGTACGTGTTGTTTAACTTGTAGAAATTCATTTTCTTTTAAAATGTTGCTTTGAGTCATATTTCTTTTCATTATTTCTTAATTCTTTAATATTTTCAAATCTGTAGCATTCATCAAACTAAAAACCGGGTAACTATTGTTAATTTAAATTGTATTTCAAATATTTACATGTCTTGTAGGTAAATTTAAACAATTAATTAATTAATGGTTAAGATTTAAACCAATTTCCAAAATAAATCAACTATTTTACACTTTCGCGATTTTTCTCATTCAATTCGCATCAGATAACATGACTTTAATGATTTTTTGTGTCTTCCTAATTTTTCGCCGTCACATTAACTTCAAATTCAATTTTATTTTCACTCTCATTTTAAATCAGTTACTTCATTAACATTTTATGTAGTCTAACTTACATTTATATACATTTCTCTGTCAATTGACGAATTAATACCTTTTCTCATCTCATGTTTAAAATCCGCTTATTTATATCTTTAACTTCCTAAACATTCTTAAAATATCATGTCGTTTATCTATATCTTGCAATTGATTCCTTAATTATTCTTATCAATAATTTCATATAATTCTTTTTGTCAAATAATTTCCGATCATTTGTAATTATATATTATTCGTTCTTCAGTTCATTTGTAATTTTTAGTGTTTTACACTTCAATGGTTCGCAATTTCGTGCATACTCTCTTACTAACTATAACATTTCATGTCTTCGTTATTTTCCTCTTAGTATCTCAGTTTCCTCTTATTCTTCATTTCTATTAATTTTAAATAACATTTTAATGGTAATTTATTCTTTATATTTCACTAATTTCATGTTCAGTATTACGTGTTATTAAAAATATTATTAAATTACTTCCGGATTATGTATAATCAACATTTTATGTAATAAAACTTGCATTTTCCGATTTCTCCGTCCATTAAACAATTAATATGCTCATTCATCGCCTTTTCAACTTTAATTTTAATTTTACCACCACAAACATAATAAATATTTTCTTTAATCATTTAAGCGGTGTTCATATTATATTCCAAAATCAAATAAAATATTTAAAATCTCTTCTCTTTCAGTTTAAATTTAATTTGTTTTCAAGTTTAAATTATTGTTTAATTAGGAACTTCAACCGACCTTTCGTTCTCCCTTTCTCTTCGTTTATAAAAACATAATTCTTCCATACAATCATCTTTCCACCATTCTCATCTCATTTTCTTTCTTAATATCATAATACTCTTTCACGTCTCAATTATCCTCAAAGATCAAACGATCTTACTCTCACCTTTCTTCTTCATATATAAATTATCCATTCTTTTTATATACCAAACTTCTATACCTTCTATTCTATTTTAAATTCCTTCTATCCTTTGTACATTTACTTCTTTTATGTAGTGATAATTCCCGGTAAATTTAGCTGGTCAAATCCGGGACACTGCCGCGGTGAGCACGATCTAACCGAAATTGAAGCGACAAGTATTGTTGATGACACGTTTGCGGGTATAATATAAGTAGATAAGTAACGCTCTTCGTACACTCGATCGATTGAAATCATACGCTAGCTGAGTGCCGACGTCCGATGTGGACATCGACTGATTGAGCAAGAGATAGCTAACCAACTGTTGCAACGATGGTTGATGGTCGCATGTTGTTTCTGTCGAAGAAGCCTGACCTGGCCGCGCAAGTCCGCACGAAAATGACCAGATGCTACTTTTACGTATCAGATTCAATCACAATGCCAAAATAAATCACAATCATAAATAATGAAAACATAAACTCATTAAGCCTTCACCTACTCTCACTTCAATCTAAACATAAATATAGAAAACGTAATATTAATAATTAATTATAACGCTCATTCATAGATCATTAACTTTTCATTTATCATTAGAAATTAAAAATTTC